ATGGTCCTGGCTGGCCAACAGATTTAGACATAAACCTGTCACATGGCGGGCCAAACCCCCGGCCGGCGGGCTTCCCGTGCAGGAGGCACTGGCTCTGGCTCTGGCACTGGCGCTGGTATCGGGATCGGGATCGGGGAGCCATTGTGGGGGCTAAAGCCGTTTCCGACACCTTTTGCCACCCAAACGCAGCTGTGCCCCGGGCAAGGAACACACGGCACCATCCATTCGGCCCACCAAAATGCTTTGGAAAACTGCTTGGTGGGTGGAAGCTATGAAAATTTGGGTATGAAATAAAATTGATATGACTTTCCTGATGGGTATTTTTATTGTACCGAATAATTTTTATTTATTTAACAGCTCTTTATACTGCCATTCTAAATTCAATCGTTCGTTAAAACTATAATGGCCCAAATATAATGCCATTAACCTTAGTTTATTCGGCACAGGCCTGCCTTTTCACAAATTGTTTTTCAATTTTATTTGCTGTCTGAAATGTAAAACTGCATGTTATTTGTAGATTCCATAAGATGAATGAAATAATAATTATTTTGCAATAATCGAAAGTATTCAGATTGGGAATTGTGAGTTCCAAGGAGATAACTTCTTCGAGAAGCGCTCTTGGAAAATGATCTACTCGCACCTGGGCGCATTTGAAGCACTGCCACTTTAGGGGCTTTCCTTTCTGGCCATCAATTGGGTGTTTTGGAGGCAGCACACACAGAGGCGTTAGTTGCTTCCCAAGATGGAGGGGCAACCTGGGCGACAAGTTTGCCGGCAAAATGCAGCCGCCGCTTCTCACCTGCAAGTGCAGGCCGATCCGAGATGATTGCGAGATGTCGATGTGGATATGGCTGTAAATGTGGATGTAGCTGCTTCGAGTGCTGAGGTAATGCTCTCCGCCCGACTCACTCTCTCCGAGTATCTGTGAGTAGTGCCTCTTGGAGCCGGTATGACGCTCTCCGAGATGTGGCGGCAAATATATCTGCACGCTTGGACCACAATTACCTAGAGCCGACTCCGTAATACGTTCAGTTCTCATTTCGATTTCCAGTGGTGCGATCGTGTGCACCGCTACCACGCCGGTGGTGCCACCTCATCCTCATCCTCCCGTCGCCGGGTGTTTGGGATCGCGAGTCGCAGTCGCATTCACTGTCTAGTGTCCTCGTAATCCTTGTCAGCGATCGCGTTCGCGTTGTGCGTGTAGATGTGCCTGCAGTGCACTTTTGCCCAAGACCCTTGATTTAGTTCCGAATCGACAAGTAATTGCCGACACAGAGAGAAAAAGTATCAATACGCGGTTAAGATACGTAATGTTCTAGAATATATTCGTCAAAGTTGCTTGTCCTAAACAAAACTCTTTATTTCAGTCGCAAAAGCAACGCTTTAAATTTAACTTGTACATCCTTTGCAATGATTTTTCATTCAATTATTTAGTAAGTGTTTAGATGAGCATGTAGTTTGCGCGTATTTATATATTTTCTCTGTGTTGGCATAAGAAAGTCAATGAAAAATCACAGCTGAGATCCTTCATAGCCCTATTTATCCTGAAAACGATTTCGGGCCAAATTGATGTCGCATGTCCGTCGAGTAAACATGCATAATAGCTCTTAATTTCAATTATTTCCGCCAACACCGTCTGTTTGCCAAATGGCAATATTGATTGGGGCTTTGGCTCAGTTAATGTTTGTTTGATCTGCCAACCGGATACCCATTAGGCCGAACTGGCTCCTAATGCTTATAATTCAGTTAGTTCATCAAATCACTATTTGTAGCCACTCCGAGCTGTGCAAATTCTGGCGCAGAGCAAACAGGAGTCTTCGGATTTGGGAGGAACAAACACTAGATGCTCGATCTATAGTAATTGCAAATGGGTAAACACACCCACTGTAGAAGTACGCAGTTTTTATTTCGAACGATATTTTATGTGCGTGAGACACTTCAATGTTGACCCAGAATAAACGCGAAAGACATTCAAAATATTTCAACCCATAATTCTTGGCAGCAGTTCAGACCAGATCCATGTGCATGGTGAAACTGCAGCCACAATTAAGAATTGTTTTTGGTATCACAGTTTTTATTTTATGGCTAAACTTCACACAATTCTGTTTCTGGTTTCAATTTAGTGCTGAAACTAGAGCTCATCATTTACATAGTCGGTGATGAGCAAGCACTTAGATACGCTTTTAAATAAGTCATAAGTAAATGAGCAAGCATGCCAACATTAAAATCTCTAATAGTTACACAACAAATGATATGATTTGTAATGCAGAGCCGAAATTCCTTTTAAATGCCATCGAATAGTATTAATCTGTGCTCGGCGAGAGTTCGGCCAGAGCTGGGATCATAAAAAATTTTCACTTTTTGCACTCCTTAAAAACTGAAGCACTTTTCACATCGTTGCTGGAACATGTTGCGCCTAATAATTTGCTTTTAATTTATTCAAAATTCAGCAGAAAGGAAAGCCAGAAATTCCTGCCCAACGTGTAGACAAGTTGGCTAAAAAGTATCAAGCAAAACGCAACTGCCGGAACGGCCGGGCTAACCCAAAATGCCTTACAAGGCTTGACTTACTGCCCAGGCAGACAGTTTGAATACCTAGCTCTGCGCTTTGTTCAGACAAGTCGTAAATATATGTGCAGCCAGCTGGGGAGTTTTCCTTCTTGGGACCAGGGAGTTTTCCGAGGATGGTGGGCGTTGCGTTGTTGACAAGACTCGCGGCGCAGGCCAATAATTATTACAGAATACTTGGTTATGGGAGGTGAATTTGCATGTGTATGTCGGGGCGACTCGCATGGGAGTTGCTCGCCCCCTTGAAGTCGGCGAATCGGACGCATTTAACACTTTTTGCAGCCACCATTTGATGCACTTTTCCGAGAGCCGAGTGCCGAGTGCCGAGAGAAAGAGGAACTAACAGTTGCCCATTTCGGTTAATTAGCTCGGGACCTTTAAACGAAAAACTGGAAAGAGCTAAGTAAGCTGCCCGGCGATGGACACTCTTGGGTTTATTGTGCAATAAAAATGCATACAAATGTGCGCTAATTGTTGCAACTGCCCCTCGAAAGGCCCTTTTCCCACTTTTCTCGAGCCACTTTGTTCGTGACGCTTCGAGAGATTCGAGGTGGGCCAAGTCCACTCAAAAGGTTCGTTTTTTCATACCGGCTGTCATCTCAAGTTTCCGGTTTGGGGCACTGAAGATGAACTGTCCTTGTAACAATTTGGGTTTGATTTTGGCGTGGAGATACATGTATGTAATGCATAATATCCCATTGAGTCTACAGCTCAACACTTTTGATTTGCTCAGGTCAGTTACTTTCATTTCAACTGCATTTGGCTCGTTTTTCAGCCTTATTTGTATTTGCTTTTGATTATGTCAAAAGCGCATTGCTTGCATTATTTTCTCTTTAATTTGGGCATAATACCTGTTGTCGCTCACATTGTGACAAGTGATTCATTGCCAAACAATGCTGCACTGGATTGAAATAGTTAAATGGGACTTTAAATACTACAAGTAAAAGCATATCGTTCGAGTTAAGAGAAGGAAGTAAAGCATAAATCAAAATGGGAATGTCTGTCTTTATGGCAAGCGAAGTGGACATCTGATTAAGATAAAAACAGACTGTGCAAGCACGTTTCATTGGGATGTATCGCATTTATTCTCGAGCCGAAATCCGAAAGTGGGAAATCCAAAAGAAAGACGGAAAAGTTATCTGACTGCGACTTAATCTCGAGCATAAAGGAGCAGGAAATGGCGCCCAAGAGTGGCAGAAATGACATAATATATTCCTACAATAAATGCACATGATATAGCGCATGAGAAACGCATTTAAAAAATGTATTCGGGTCCCGTAGAGTCGCAATTATATTTCATTTTCAATGTGAAAAGCGGCCAGTGACAAAGAAAAGCACATAAAATGAACCAAAAATATTTACTCTTATCACGTTCTTAACTTGACATAGTTTGATGCGATTATTTAAAGGCTGTCAACGCCCCCAAATGTTTTCTATTTTCATGCTCATTTCCTTGAAAGGCATATATAATGAGCCATATAGGAGTATACTATAGCCAGTCTGCTTAATTAGTTTTATGGCTACTGCACTCGCCCTGTCAGATTTTCTCTGACACAGGTATTCTGAAATCATTTTCAGACAAACACTCAACATAATTGCAAAACTGAATTGAATATTTTGCAAAAGTGTAGCCGCAAAAGTGGCAGAGCAGAGAAAATATGTTTCTATTTATAAACGGGTTCTTTCAGGATTTGATTTGACTCTGGGATTTGTGCATTTGAACTGCGAATTTCGCATGTTAATATTGCTCGGCAAGATCATGTCAAGTAATAAATAAGCGATTCTTATCGCGCCCGCCTCTAAATGTGGATCATTAAAATCGCTGTGCGCCGTCTGGGGTTTTACCATACCTTTTAAAGTTCGCCTGGCGTTTTTCACAGCTGTTGTTGTTTCGCTTCCAGAGTAAAGTACAATAAAACGTTCTCATTATGAGCTAGAGTACTTGCTTTCGTATTTACTTACTCTGCACCACTGCCAGTCGAGCTATAGGGCTTGCTCCAGATACTTACTTCGCGGCAATCAGCTGGAGGAGATTCCAACGTGGCTTGTAGCTGGGTTCTCGGCTTGCAGATGCAGATGATTGGGTGCTAGAATGAAGCAGAGTCACAGCTGTGGTGCTAGATCAAGCCATTCCTATTTAACCGAATAAATTGTCACCCGCAATTAGAGCCCCAAAATGAATGTAAGAAAAATGCTGCTAGAGTTCGTTATGAAGTTCGTTTGTTGTGAGTTGAAAAAGCTGAAAACCAACCTGACGATGTTTCTAATATTCTTCTGGATTATATGGTTCTCCCAAATAATAGCCATATCAACGGTGTTCATGAGGTGGGATATTGACCTAAAGGGCCCAAGAAAAACCTAAAAACCCAAACAGACGCACATTCCGATATTGATTGCCCACTTATTATCCACTTATTTACTTACTCTTTCAGCTTTCCGGAGATCATTACGGAGCTGCCAACGGTCACCATAACAGAGCTGCCGCTGGATCGAGTAAAGAACCGCCTGGATTCGGTTATCCTGGACGCGTTCCAGGTCACAGCGGGCAACCATAGCGATGAGGAGCAGCCTCACCAGCAGCCACCTCACCAGGACCAGCCCATGCAAGTGCCGGAGGCTGACGAAGAAGTTCCTCAAAAAGGCAAGACATAGTTATTCTCTTACAGCTTTCAGAGCCAGATTTTGACTACGAAATCTCAAATTGTCCAATTCTAGATGAGCAAATGCCGAAGATAAACGATCCCGGCGGAGGCATTGAAGTGGAAGGAATGGCCCCACAAGAAGCTGCTGCCGTAGGCGAGACCCAAGAGAGCCGCGAGGAGTTGCAGCCTGGATCAGCTGCATTCAATGAGACAGGGGGCACGGCCAACCTTACGAATGCCAGCGAGGAAGTGCCCATGCCAGTGTTTTCCGAGTGGGCGCAGAAGCAAATGGAGGCGGAGGCCAGCAGAGAGCAGGCCATGGAGTTGGAGCAGCAGGTGGTTAATAAGTCCGCCCAACGCAAGAACAACACTGGATCTTCCAGTGGGAAGCCGCCAACGCTGAAGCTGCGCTCCAAGAACTACGCCTCACCGGACTGCGGAGCCAAGATAATCGCCCACAATTCCGAGTCCAAGCACACGGAAGCTGTGCTCACCCAATCCACCGATGAGTACATGTTGAGTACTTGCGAAAGTCGGATTTGGTTCGTGGTGGAGCTGTGTGAGGCCATTCAGGCGCAGAAGGTGGACGTGGCCAATTATGAGCTCTTCAGTTCGTCCCCCAAAAACTTTACGGTAGCCGTTTCGAAACGATTCCCCACCCGGGACTGGAGCAATGTGGGGCGCTTTGCTGCAGAGGACAAACGAACCATTCAGACTTTTGAGCTGCATCCTCACTTATTTGGAAAATTCGTTCGCGTTGAAATCACATCGCACTACGCCAATGAGCACTTTTGCCCGCTGTCGTTGTTCCGAGTGTTTGGCACCTCCGAGTACGAGGCATTCGAAACGGAAATCCGACCAAGCGATGACCTGGACGATTTCTACGATGACTACGGCGCTCAAGAGCAGAAGGCAGCCGTTGGCAGTGGTGGCAATATCTTTCAAAGCGCCTCGGATGCCGTGATGCAAATGGTCAAGAAGGCTGCGGAGGTTCTGGTCAAGCCCACAAAGGCTCTAAAATGGTCAGCGGAATCTGTGCTCTGTCAAACGCCAGCGTTTGAAACTTACAGCTGCAGCAACTGTAACACCACCCTGGTAGAGCGGATTAACAGTCTTTTGTCCTGCCAGTTCCAGCAGCTGCAGGCACTCCTCAGCCTTAGTCGCTTACGGTCAGATCTCCTCCACAGTCGCGTGTGCCAGGAGCAGTTCGGCATAAGCCTTATGGGTTCGGATTTCGCTAGTAAAATGGGCAAGGAGCAGAGCTATTTCCTCAGCATGTTGCCAGCGGAACATGTTGGAGCCATGTGTAAACTGGTGCAGGCGGAGCAGAATGTAACGGACCAACGCCATACAAAGGCGCCAACTCTGAAGCAGCACGTCAGCTCACCAGAAGCAGTGCAGGATAACGCCACTGCTACGGGCGTTCGTCAGGACTGCGACAACAGCAAGGAACGCCAGCCGACAAAAACGGCCACAAAGGAACCCCAAACACCCAGTCTAGAGGTTGTGGTGCCCGAGGTAAGCCAAGAAGTGCCTTCACTGGAAGACCAGTCGTCGACCTCCAGCGAAACAGTCTCCACCACGAACTCCACGCCCGCCGACGTGAATATATTCAACGTGCCGTCGGAATCTGAGGAAGTGGAGGTCAAAGTAGAGCTTCCTCCGGAGCCAACACTTCCGAAAACTTTGGAGCCCAGCGATGTAGAGTCATTCACTGACGCTCCTAGCACAAATGCACCCCTGACCTCTAGTGAAGCTTCGGCGAACGCTGATCTGGGAATGGAGGAGGGTAATCCGACTAACTGGGAAGGCATTGACAGTCTACTGACCACTACGGTGGCTTCGATAACCGCTGGAGGAGGTGCTGCTGCCGCTGCAGCCGCCGTGGTAAACGGAAACGGCAACATCGGAGGAGCTGGCATTGTCGCAGCAGGAGGACCAGCGAGTGTGTCCAGTGTTAATATGCAGCAGAAGCTGACGAATGGAGCCCAGTCGGAGAGTGTGTTCATTAGGCTCTCCAATCGCATAAAGGTGAGTGGCTCGAGCTCCCTGTTTTAAGTGGGTTCCGCCCCTTGAAGTGCGTCAATACAGCAACTAGAAACTGGCTAGACCGCCACCCACGCAGGATGGGGTGAGGGTAGTCAACAGTCGACAGGGTGGGAAGTCAAAGGCAAAATTATACTCTGGCAAGGAGTTACTTAATTATGTTGCTGACTCAGCATAAAGTGTTTCCCTTCAAAACTGCTTTTTCAATTTTGTATTTTCCATACTCAGGCTTTAATTGAGAATTACAATGACTTCCTTGCAACTGGGTAACCCGACTAAGGTAACCCATATTCGGTTTCCTGCTCCTAGTCTCTTCTGACTTGTTTATAGTCAACTTGCGTGCTGGCTGCTCATTACCTGCGGCAGCCGCTTCCCGTTTTGGACTCCGTCCAAGGACTGTGCGGGGGTTCATCCTTGTAACAATTCTGCCAGCCAACTCGCTACCTTGACGACCGACGTCATCAATATACTCGTACATATGCGAATCCATTCGAAACCCTACCAGAGGTACACGCAGAAAATGCAAATGCAATGCTTAAGAACGGAATTATCGGATGAATCTTCCTACCTTTTTTCAGTTTTTTAAATTCAATATTTTATCTGGCGTAAAAAGGGATTATTTGATCCTAAAAGTGTTTTGAAATTAAGTTGAAATATTTTCCTAATTGATAGAATAATATTTGCTGGCTAAAGAAGCTGGGTTAAGAAGTGATTCTTTGATACTAATGGTGATTGGAAATGCCTTCGTAACTTTGCTGATTAAATTTGAAATATTTGTTTAATAAAATAAATAATTAATGCTGCAAGCTAACTATTTCTCTCCGTGTTCCTTCCACAACATTCGCTAACCACTGACGTTCACGGGGCTTCTGTCTTCCGCAGGCGCTCGAACGAAACATGTCGCTTTCTGGACAATACCTGGAGGAGCTCTCGAGGCGCTACAAGAAGCAAGTGGAGGAGCTGCAGCAGACGCTCACACAACAGACGCTCACGGTGCGTCAACTGGAGGATCAAAGCAGGCGGTACGTAGAGCAGGAGCAGCTATACCAGCAGCACAGCGCGGAGCTGGCCGGCGAGGTGAGGGCGTTGTCCTACCAGGTGCAGGCCTGCATCCTGGTCATCATCATTGTGGGCACCTGCATCTTCCTGATGCTCGTCCTGGGCACCGTCTACTATCGCAAGCTGCGACGCCAGCAACAACAGCTATTGAAGAAGGACCAGGCGGGCCATCCACCTGTGGCTGCAAAGCCAAAGTTGGATCGCCGTAAGTCCTATGAGCAGATGCCAAATCAAACCACACCCAAGCAACGGCGTCCAAGCGAAGAGGCCATGCTCATTCTGAAGGAGTGCGGGGACAGCAACCTGCAGGAGCAGGATCCCTCACACCGCCAGCGCAAGATTTCCGTTTGCTATGGCAGTAACAATAACATAGCCGCCAATATGGTGATTGCCAACACAAACGGCGCTGCGAGTGTCCGAAATTCTTTGCACAGGCGAAAGGGAGCCAAGCACTCGTGGCACAACAGTCTGGATACCACGGAGACGTCCTGCGGCGAGCAAACGGACAAGTTCTTCGATGTGGGTAAGTACGGGCTTGAAGAACCATGCAACGCATTCAAAAGTAAACGAGAAATCCCCTTTTCAGACACCCTTAAAAGCACAAAGCAAATTTGCGGCAAGCCGGGGAAGAAGAAATCCCATCAGCAACTGAAACCACTGGCTCTTAAACGCCAGGAATCCGCGCCAGCCACCTATACGCCTGATATGCAAGCTGAGGAACCAGCCACGCAGAGCGACTTCGACGAGAGCCTAATGCTTGACGATGATGATCTAGCTAACTTTATACCCACCAGTGATTTGGCCTACAATGAGTTTATGCCGGAGGGACCCTCGGGCTACCAGATTGTGGACACCGTAGACGGGAAACCTGGCAAAGAGCAGGGAACCAAGAAATCGAGACGCCTGTCCTCGCCGGCCTTCTTTAAGTCGCCTTTCAGCAAGAGCAAAAACAAGGGCTACAGCTTTAATGGCGTCAAAAACAGCCATTCGGTTCACGAGCCCACATCCTGGGAGTGGTACCGCCTCAAGCGAAGCGAGAAGCAGCAGCAGGCGAAGCTGGCCAGCAAGAGTCTGCCAAGCGCTAGCCTAGACAGCTCGTCGCTGTCGGAGGTCAACTTTCCACTGAGCTCCAGCTCCGCCACACAGAATTCCGTTCGGATACTGGGCGAGGCCATTCTGTCCTCCGGGGAGGGACGCATCACCCCGAATGGGAATGGCAACGCAGCGTCTGGTGTGCTGGCAAGCAGCAGTAGTGGAAGTGGCAGTGGAGGCAGCACCACCTCATCCACCACCAAGAAGAAGCAGCGCGCCCTTAACAACCTCTTTCGCAAGGCCTTCGACTTTTAACTAGAACCCAGTGTTTCGACTTAGTTAGCTTTTTTAGATTTGCGCATATTGTACATTTTCTTATGGATTCGGAGAAAACCTGTTGGGTTTGTATTTTGATCAATTGTTTGTACAAACAAATAGTTATGTTTTGCCGACTTTGGAGAGGTCTGTGAAGTGAGAAAAAGTGAGAGTTCCTTTTGTGTTGCAGAGAAATGCAAATGACTGTTAAGTGAAAACAAGAAATTTAAGTAAAGTACTTATATATTTTGTAGTATGCTTGCTTGCGTAGAGTAAACAGCCTAGGTTAATTATGTGTGTATATTCCAAGCCTCGTCATTCTTGCTACATTCACCCAATCCCACAATTATCTACTTTAAATGATGAACGAAACATTTGCAAGTTGTTGCCACATATTTAGTTTGTTATTCTTAGCAATTTCTACATACAATTAGTTAATAGTTTAGTCTTTATTTATAACTAAATACAATTAACATTTATTTAAAAACGTAAATTGTCTTTGCTAATGGTTCTACGTAAAAGATTATATTTTCAATTCGCTGAGGAATTCTGCCACCTCAAGGGCGTCTTCACTAGCCAGCTTTGTCTCCCTGACGGCACTATTCAACCCTCGACCAGCGGTTCCCATGTTCTTCTTCCACTGCTCAACAGTTTTGTACTTTTCATCGTTGGCACAATATATAATCTCGTTGATGTCCTCCTCCAATTTGTAGCTGCACACAGCAGGGAAGACTTTGTGCAGATTGTCGAGGGCTTCAGCACGAAGGCTCTCATCCCGACACACGAGATTTAGCATAAAGAGACCTTTCGGACCGATAATCTCCTTTATGTGCTGCAGGATCTTCGTAGCTAGGAAGCTTTGCGGCGGACAACTCATTCCCAGACTGAGATCCTTGCTGTCTACATCGAACAGCACGGCATCAAAGTGGATATCTAGACGGAAATGCTTTGCCATACAATACAAGTTTTTGCTTAAAAATAATTAGTTTCGTGGTTATTACCTTCATTGCGGCATCGCTCTACGAAATCCAAGCCATCGTCTATAACCACATGAAAGCGTTTGTCCTGTTTGAGCTCAAAGTACTGTTCAGCCACCTCCAACATTATTGGATCGATTTCCACGGCCGTAATTCTAGCTTGCCTGAAGAAACATATGCATTTTAGTAGGAGTATAATTGGTACACTGTACAAAACATACGGCAAAGCGGCGTGAAGAAAGCTGCACAGGCCGCCGCCTCCCAAGCCGATAACGAGAACATCCTTTTCCACATCCCTTTTGGGATTTTGCACTGTTGTGGCCAGTTGAACACCCACGGACATGTACAAGTGATGCTGGCAGGCTAGGTAGCCGAAGTCGATCTTCTTACGGTCCTTTTTGCCTTTTATTTTGACTGTAACAAAATATGCGCGTTAACTAAACTACCAAATTATGGTTTGATATATTTACCTGTTTTAACTAAGGCTTCCGACTGCACAACAAACTGATTGCTGAGAAATATAAGGCGTCGCAGGGTTTTGCCACTGGCCTCCACTTCCTCAATGCGGAAATCTCCTGATATCTTAGAGAACCCACAAATGAGTGTCTCCCTTTTGCCCACATCGGATCCAAGAGATAGATACGGTATCTGCTCACTGAGTCCGGCTGGCGATAGGTTCTTAATGCTGTCGGCCAACTCTAGTTTGACTTCGTCCAAGGTACTGTAGACCTGATCCCGATGAAGGGTAACCACAGCCAGTCGCTGGAATTTGGCGGAGTCTTGGAGCTTTTTCCGCCCAACAGGGGTGGAAAACAGCCACTCCACCTCTCGTCCCTGAGGAACAATAAACGCCGCGTATTTGCCAAGGCCGCGAGCAGGCGGCTTATCTAGTATGTGGATAGTATAGCGAGGGGTTTGCTCTGATGGCCGGTGTAGATCCATGATCACCTCATTGTGACCAGCTATGTTGGATCTGGCTAGGCCGTTGCAAACCAAAGCGGCCTTTTGGACAGAGGAAACAGCGTTATTCAGCTCGGAGACTGAGGTGAATCTTTGCATCTTGTCGTTGCCGAAACCGAATTCGAGTATCTACAAGCAAACTAAATTATATTGTGAATGTTATTGGCGTAGTCGTCTACTCACAGGCATTGGAAGGCTCTTAAATTTAGTAGCGACAACTACGAACACAGGCAGTGTCAAGGCATCATCGGCATTCTTTTCTTTGTTGGCCTGTTCCACACCCAAGCAGTGAACAATCCTCAGCATGCAATTGTGCTTGGGCAGGAACTCCAGTAGGAAGTTGAGGATGTGCTCTTGCAGCAGGGAGATACCAACATAGCGACCACCATTCCTGACATATGAACGGAGAAATTGGATACCTTCGATTTTAGACAGTGCACATTACCCACCTCATGGTTCTAAGTATTTCCTTGAAATAGTTTTCCACCACCTGTCTCGTGTCAGGTTCATCATCTGCAAATAGAGCATCCAGCGTTCCCTTGTCCAAAGACACAGAAAAGCTCTCATCCGGGAACGTCATCGCTGTCGCGTCCATTTGCAGGAACTTCATATCTGGACGGGTTTTGGCATTCAGTTCCAGCATTTTCTTTACAGCGATGGGAGATATATCTATGTTTGTGATATCCCTGAGGAAAAAGTGTAAATACCACGCTCAAGTTATTCATAATGCCAATCTATTATTAAGTGATATGCTTATTGTTTAGTTACAACTTACCGAAACCCGGTGTCGTACATATCCATACTCAATTTGGAGTTACCGCATCCCAGCATCAGAATCCTGTCCGACGGCTTGATATATTTGTGGATCTGATCGCACAACTCCAGGTATTCGCCGTACCTTTGGAGTTAAAATATCTTTTAGTTGGCAAAAAACACATGTTGCTCCCAGGAAGTCGCGAGCATAGTGGTCCCATTTACTTACCACTCGAAGGCCTTCTCACCGCGCTTCTTGAAGAACTCATTCCAGTAGTCGGTCTGTGCGAATTCCTCGCGAGTTTTGGGCAGTAAATTCATGGTTTCAACAACTATAAAAGGATGCAAAATATAAACAATAAAGCGGCAAAATGTGATCGTTCAGGGCATTGCCATTCGAATTGATGGGCAGACAGCAGTGTGACCGGAGCGAGCAAGTATCGGTAAATTTGCGAAAGCTATTATCAAATGGCAAATTTCGTTATTTGTAGCAGTGAATTAGATGTAAAAATCAATAAGTTTTTAATTTACTAAGAAGTTAAATTTAATGTGGTAATAATATTTTACCTGTTTGTCAAAACCATCGATTCGATTAGTGTGACCTTTCAACGGTCAATCTGTGCGATGTGCCATTCAGAGCGACTAGTCGACAAGCACTGATTGGACAATTTCTTTGCCAAAGCAAACTGCAAAGGGTTTTCTGCGCTCAAAAGACCATTTACGCATCTTTTTCCTGGAGTTTTCGCCATCCACGGAGTGCCCAGTATCGGTCCCCATGTGAAAGAGTCCAGTGGACTAGAGAACGGCCAAGAAAAAAGGCGAAAAGCGAGGTGAAAGCAGGCGGTTCTGTCATCGAAAAGGGGGAGGAGGTGGCTCCTCTGAAGAAATCGAATCCAATCGAGAGCCTAACCACTTGACAGCGACATGGAACGGCTGTGAAGGACTTGGCAGATGCAAAGGAAACTGGCACTCGCATCCTCCGGACTGGGACAGGGATTGGATTTGAGAGCCGCGGCGCGGTGTAAATGCGTGCTGCCGTTGGCCTGATGCTGTCGCACGGTGCTGGTGGCATGGAGCCAGCGATGTCACGCCCGGACTACGAGCAGAGCGCCCTGCACCACAGCTGTCTGCTGGTGCTGCTCCGCGGCGTGGGTCCATCGCGCGCCCGCATCCTTCAGCGGGCGTTCGAGAAAGTGCGACGTGTCAATCACATCCGGGTCAATGGTGTGTGTGGCTTCTATCTTGCTATGTTGCTATCTTTTTGGTTACTCATTATTCTCTGGCTTACAGACTCCTCTGGCCATCCTCGCTCCATTTGGATCCGCTTCGTTCACGATCATCCCGTGGAGCACAACGATTGGGGCGACTTTCAGACCCATCGCCGTCTGCTGGGACTTATCACTATTGGTAAATTCGATAGTCAAACCGAGCTCAATGAGCTGTGCCGTCAGCACGAGTCCCTGAAAGTTCGCTACGGGTCTACACTGTACGAGTCCCGTGCCATTTTCTTTGGACCCGATGAGCCGCCTCTGGAAACCATTGGGGAGGTGCTGGGACCCCCGACATCTGGGGGACGACGCCTCCAAGACGAGTTCACAACGCCATCGAACTTCAAGGCGCAGGCCTTCTTCTATCGCGAACAGGATTCGTGTGCCGATCTCGAAGCTCGAATTGGCGACTTTGCCAGTGCGCTGTTTTGGGTGCTAGAATCACGACGGTTAGAGCGATCTCGCGAGAAGGCGGACAAGGTGAGCCTGTTGCTGGCACCCTTTGAAAAGCGGGACTTTGTGGGCCTAGACATGGAGTCGAGAAACAATAGGAAAAGGTGCGTAGGTCGTGTGATGAAGAACCTGGCAGATCTTTCGCTGCAAGCCGGTCTGGTTGACGACGCTTTGAGTTTGTACCACAATGCGAATGAAACCTTGAGGTCGGTCGGTGATTCCCTGTGGGTTGGGGCGACCGAGGAGGGTCTGTGTGCCGCTTCCGCAATGCTCTTGTATCCCCAAATGCGAGAAACCGAGACTCTGCACAGAAACTCGTCGCTTCAGGAGGCGGGTAAGTGCCAGAAACATAATTAGATATATATGCCTTATTCCTCATTCTTTTTAGGCACCTCTCCTTTAAAAAACACCCCTGAGAAGTGGCGTGCTAGCGACGCCACCAAAAAGATTAGCGCCAGCGACGCCACCGCTAACAATGTGGATTCCTTCCAGCCACAGCAGCGCGTAACCTCGAACTCATCTTCCTGCTCATCCGTGTCTTCCCTGGTGACAACGGCGACCAATTCCTCCGCCTCGGACACGCCAACAACATCGTCTTCCTCCACTTCGACGATATCGGCAGCACCGATACCAGGACATCAAAGAAACGGCGATCTACCGGGTAACATCCTCAAGGCGGAGGAGATCACCAACTACTATCGGAAGGCCATCATCAACTACAGCAAGTATAGACACGCAGCCACTATAGAGACAGAGGCGGCCCTGAAGGCCTCGCGGATTTGCATCGAGCAGAATCGTCCCCTGGATGTGGCCATGTTCTTGCAGAATATACTGTACATAAACCTGAGCATGAGCGAAGCCGAGCGAGTAAAGAGATTTGAGGTTATTACGGACCTGTACCAGCAGATAGGATACCAAAGGAAGGCGGCATTTTTCCAAAGACTCGCTGCACTCAAGCACGTTCAGCAGGGCAGCCAAGCGCCGGACTGGAATCAAAGTTACCGGCTCATGTTAGGCAGCTTTACGGGGTACCGGCTTTGTCTCGACCCGTTGGAGGTGATAGAAAATGCAGCCGGCTGGCCGGCGTTGCAAATCGATCTGGTCCAGACCCTCATAACGGCTGCCAGGCGTTTGGGACACTCTGCTTTGGCCACGCGGCACATGACCTTTCTGCTGCAGACTCAGTGGGATAACATGTCGCCAACGGAGCAAAGCGAGATGGCTGTGCAACTGCAGGTAAGTCAACAAAATACGCATCTTATTTTGCTGACTAAAATCGGTAAATTTTTTAAAGAATTTAAGCGCTCAGTGCGAGGGCTCTCCTGTTCCCCTGGTGCTGGAAAATGGCACTGTGATACCACCCGCCAATCTCACGGATCTGCCCTACTGCCTCGATCTTCAGGTTAAGGATTTGCCCGCTCATTTACGACCGCAAAGAATAAAGGTGGCCAAAGCGGATAGTGGACCTTTCTTATTTACCCCCATACACTTTAATTCCGTGGACAGAAGGGACCAGAAAAAGGACAAAAATAAAATAGGTAAGATCCAGGTCAAAGCTCTGCATAATAATACTTGACCAATTTCCATATTAGCCTTCCAGTGGGTGCAAAACGATCTTAGTGAAGTGACGGTGCGCCTGCGGAATCCCCTGCCCTTTGAGCTGGCCGTCACGGACATGAGATTGCTGACAAACGGCGTGGTGTTTGAGTCTTTGCCTCAGACTCTTGTCCTTCAGCCGCATGTGCCCACGTATGTGGCGCTACATGGAACGCCAATTGAGACCGGGCAACTGGATCTGCAGGGCTACAGCACGCACACGCTCGGTGTGAAGTCAAACTGTCGCCTGAAGCACATGCGTGGACGCAGCTTTCCGCCCAACTACGTGGTTGATGTCATACCCGCCCTTCCTAGAATATCTGTGAAAACTTCGCTACCACAGACAGCGACGTTTAGCAACATGAACAGTGCGGATATCGTGGTGACCTCTGCCAGCTTGACGCTGTACAATGGAGAATCCTCCAGCTGCACGATAACTATTACTAATGAGAGCGCCACGCTGCCACTGGAGCACCTAGAGTTTAGCATCAACTCAAGTATTGAGCCGGAGCTGCAGCAAAAAATTTTCCAAATAGATGAGGAAGCCATCAAGGTAAGATTTGAGATCTTACAGCGAGTAAATAACTTTCGATACCCTTTCCTTGCAGGCCAAGTTGCCAGTGCCTCCGCAGGGTACCATCGAAATTATACTGGATGTTTATGCTGAAGCGGACTTCGTCTGTCCTCAACCACCGGCTTCATTGCATTCCGGCACTGCTCCTGGGGACTACGGTGCAGCGTCACTATCGCACTACTCGAGCGTTTCCACCTCTGGGCATGCCAGCTTACCCTCGAGAGTCGGTTCTCCACATCATCGTCGAAATGAGCCACAGAATTCCAGTTTCCGATCGACCATTTCAGGCGGTCCACCATCGCTGGCTGCCCTAAGCCTGCAGCCTGGCGGCGGGGGAGGAGTAGGACCTTCCAGTCTTGGGTCACAATATAACCAGCACATAGAGGCGCAAGTCAGATTCAAGTACTCCGGCGGAGAGGCTTTGACGGCGGGCTACTGCCGCCAATGTGCGGTGTCCTTTAATCTAGAACTGTTGCCTAGCGCACAGATTACAAGCTGGGATGTGCTTCCCGCAGAGGTGTAAGTGTAACCTATTTGATTTTCAAAGCAATTATTCTTAGTATTGTCTATAACATCTACAGAGCCTCCCAATTTTACCTGGTACTTGACATCTCCAACCTAACCGCTCAAGAGATGTCGCTCAACTATACGGACACCAAGAATATACTCATTGAGGCCAAAGAGAGCTGCCGGGTGCCCATTCCCGTGGATCGCTGCTCCCTGGAGAAAGTGGTGGCAGCTCGGGCAGCCGAGGCAGCTGAGAATCTGGAAAGGGGTATGATAATTCTCAGCTAATTTGAACTCTCATTAACCATTTGTGTTTATCTTTCAACTAGAACTCTGCTTTCGGACACAGTTGCTGTCGTTTAACGATGCTTTGAGCAAGCTCTGCTCAATTCACATAGCCGAAAGGGTGAAAATTAATTGGCTGCTTACGGGGACGGATATCCAGGGAATCGCCTCACTGCGAGGTATAGTTCTCTCCCAGTCTATGGTGGATTTGACAGCTGTGTCGCCTTTGGAGTGGGGTAAGTTGCTCGTAGTCTTCTTTCCCGACTTCGTAATGATAATTGCATTTCATCTCCAGCTATCAGCTTTCAAGACACGCTCGTGCAGCCGCACAATGAGATTGTGTGTACGGTGGGCCAGCGGTCGCTGCTGAGCATCCAGCTGGCCAATCAATCCCTGCAACCTCTTAGAAATTTGGTGCTGAGCATAAAGTTCTATCAGGATTACCTGAACGGAATGGAAAATTACAATTTAGAGACACGCGTGGCCATTTCAGGACCAAATAGGTGAGAACAAAAGAAAAATATTGAAGCGAAAGTTAAATATTTAGACAATATCAACCATCTTAGAATTGCAATACCACTACTGGAGAAGAACGAGAAGAAACAGCACACTTGCTCTGTGATATTCTTTACCCCCGGACGTTTCAAAGCCAGCATCGAGTGTACCAGCAATCCGCAGAAGTTGGAGCAGCCGGCGTCACTGCTAACCCGCTCCTGTCCGGCAGAAGCGGAGACTGCCGGCCAATCGGTCATGTTCTCCTCCAGCTATGATGAGCAGCAGCCGCATGTGTGGAAACTAATTCCGCCTATCGAGGTGACCGTCGTGGAGCAGTGAAATGTTACCTGTTGCTAGTTTAATTTCGTTATAATGTTTGTGTATGTATTGTGTATACACCCCTACTAATCCCCTACTCTCGTTGAAATATTTGATTCCCACGCCCTGTTATATCTGTAATCATGAAAAGCAATTGTTTGTAAAGAATTCTTACCTAGATACAACATTTAACGCATAACACTGTATATAATTAAGCTGAAACACAAAGTAATTCTGTACCCTAAGCTTGATAGAGAAAATGGCCATAACATAACATAACATCGTAGAACTCATAGTCCATGCCTGTAAAACATATACATATTTAAGCAAGCGTTACGCTATTTAAATAGATAGCAAATGTTCCGCTCACTGGAAGCCACGCCAAGCATTATAAATTTTGATAACAAGCTCGTGTTTACAAAATATTTTTATACAATTATCGGGGGAATACACATGTATCATTATGAACTACATTTTAAGATTGTTGCTAAAGAAATTATGCCAATGAAATGTGTGAACTGTAACTGTAGTGTAAAAGCAATAAACTCTATTTGACGAAACATGGTATTGGGCCTCTCCTCCTCAACCGAGTCTTCTTATCTCGTCCATGGTGAATCCGTTCCGGTTGAGCATTATACAGAAGATAACGTAGACATAATAGCTTCCCGGGATGAATGTCAGTGCCCCGATAATACCCAATGCCCACACCCGATCCGAGCGCTCCTGGCTCGTGTCCGTCACCCAGTTTAGGGTGGCGAAGGCGATGCAAATCTGAATGCAAAGACATCAGATCAGAAGTCCGAAAGAGACACCGCACCAGCCATTACTACTCACAATGCCACCGATGAAAAGCAGTAGGATGATGACGATGGTTTTCCAGGGCACTGGACCTGGTTGCGCCGGTTCCGTCCACTGTTCATTAACGAATCCATCGGTCTCGCAGTGGGACTCCACCCCCTTGATGTATTCTCCAGAGCTAGCTGGCGAGGTCCTCGTGCCCGCCGTATTTAGGCGATGCCGCGACTCCGATTCGGTGGGCTCCATAGTAGGCCTCTACCTACTGGTCGATCTTGACCAGATGCCAATTTCAGACTAAGCATTTTGCACGGGCCAATGTTATCAGAAAAAACAGCTGATGAGACTGCCAACCTGGGAAAATTCAGCAAACACACTAGAGGCTAAATAAAGCCAAAAGCAATACGTTAAAAACAACAACTTTTTAAAGAGTTTTATATTTAATTTGGACAAATTTCTTGCATGCCTAAACTAAATTTGAGTTTACTCGAGTGAACTCGGGTTTTGAAATTTTCATCGCACCAGTAATTTGGAAAAAAAAAGCACACAATTATTTAGCTATCCTTGATGGTTGTTTTTGAACACAGATCTGCCACACGTTCGTTTTCTTCATCCAGATGGAATCCGTCGTGGTCCAGCTGGCTGGGAATAAATCCGGAGATCCAGGTCCACCCCATTCGCCTGCCCAGAAAGGTCTGAAAGTTCCGGCGCAGTTTGCGGTCAAAAGGAAACTTTTGAAGATTAAAATTATAGCAAATATAGCTACGGGACCACTGGTCATAAGCCACATAAGCAGCTACGAATACCCCGATCCACAGCATGACGAATACCACAGTAAACAACACCTCGTATCTATCAGGCATCTTGAAATACATTACCCTGATAATAAGCGAGTTTAAATAGGCGTTCTTAAATTCTGAAGAGTTTGGCGCGCGATCAGAACGCATAGAGAGCTGGTATCTGCCCCCATGTAGCACGTAAATAAATATAGATGATGACGTTAATGAAATCACGCAGCTTAGGAATAAGTAGATGAGGAAATAGAAAAAGTATCTATAGTTCTCGTGGCCAATGCAACATCCCGTAAAGAAGCAGTGATGATCTCGCTTCAGCACACAGACACCACACTTCCTGCAGTGGCGTGATTGGGGTGGAGCGTGAATCCCGCACTCGTCGCACTTGTGCCAGTCCTCACTGTGCTCTCCCCGCTCCAACTGGTTCTTCATTAGCTTGGGATCGATGCTAGGGTCCACCAGGATGCACATGACATAGTTTGACATCACATTCAGAAAGAGGAACACCGCCAGCAGCATCTGAAATACGTAACCAGATGACCCGTAATCCGACAACTCCGGCAGTATAATCTCCACCAGAACATAGTATATGGCGGGCAAGCCACATAAAATGAACACAATGAGAAATTGCTCCAACTTCTTTTTGGGCCAGATGTTCTTCAGCGACCGAAACCTCATTGTAACAAAAGTATTTTGATAAAATTTTAAAAACACTTGCAGAGTGCAAACTGGTTTGGAAATATAATGACCGGATTTTGAATAAGCTACTCTAGCCTACACGATTTATCAATATTTTGTCGGCTTTGCTTTACCATTTGGAAGCCCACTTCCTCAAAAATATTTTAAAATTAAAAGTGTTTCACACTGCATTAGTGTTTCTTAAGCATCAGGATTAAACGTAAAGATCAATAATATAATCAGTCTTCCATTTATTGGAAATCATACATTTGCCATTATTACGGACAGCCTTGAGACACATCTTTCCTAATACGGGATTGCAAAGATAGATTTAATGCATATGTTGAGTTTATTTTGTATATATACATATAAATTCATTAAACTACAAGTCTAGAAATCCTTCGTTCAGTTTATTCCAGTCGAGATATCCGGGTTTACTGCAATATTTAAAAATTAAAATTATTGTAGTATTTTGTAACATGAAAGCAAACAGCGAATAATATTTTTAAAATCAGATCTACTATCAAGATATATCAGTCACAGACATCAGTCGTCCCTATCTATCAATTTCATCACATAAAACGACATTAATCTATACCAATCATCATACTTACATCTCTGAAAATCCTTCTTTTGTGGTTTTCCAGTCATAGATATCCGGGATTCCTGCAATGATTAAAAATGAAAGTTATTGTAGTATTTTGTAACATGAAAGAACGCACCGAATAATAGTTTTAAAATCAGATCTACTATCAAGATATATCAGTCACAGACATCAGTAGTCCCTATCTATCAATTTCATCACAATTTATAAAACGAAAATAATCTATACCAATCATCATACTTACATCTCTGAAAATCCTTCTTTTGTGGTTTTCCAGTCATAGATATCCGGGATTCCTGCAATGATTAAAAATGAAAGTTATTGTAGTATTTCGTAACATGAAAGAACGCAACGAATAATAGTTTTAAAATCAGATCTACTATCAAGATATATCAGTCACAGACATCAGTAGTCCCTATCTATCAATTTCATCACAATTAATAAAACGAAAATAATCTATACCAATAATCGTACTTACATCTGTGAAACTCCTTCTTTTGTGGTTTTCCACTCTTAGATATCCGGGTATTCTGCAATGATTTAAAATTCAAGTTATTGTAGTATTTTGTAACATGAAAGCACGCAGCAACCAATATATATTTAAAATCAGATCTACTATCAAGATATATCAGTCACAGACATCAGTCGTCCCTATCTATCAATTTCATCACATAAAACGACATTAATCTTTACCAATAATCATACTTACAACAGTGCTGTGCTCATGGGCATACCCAGACCCACGTTGGTCCCCGGAAGTCTCAAAGTGGGACTCTTTGGGCCACAGCTGCCACGGTGCCGAAGGAAATGGCTGGTTTTTCGTGATCCGTCCATATTTCAGTTTCTTTATAACTATCAGCTATTAAAAATATGCTCTTCCATTGCATTTTGCGGAATACTCTTGAGTTTTCTTTTGGCCATCGTCGTTATTTCAGTTTATATTTCTTGAACTGGGCAACACGTGGTGCGGCTCTGCGGTGACCTGAAACTGTGACTGGTTCACCACCGTGACAAGAAGTGACGAACAGGAAAATACTGGAATGGAAATTTTCTGGATTTTTTGGTGACTTTTGAGTGGCGCCCCGCTTTTAAGATTTATTTGAACCTGTAGACGATTTTCCAGTTTTTATTATATAAATAGATATTGCGATTCGGACGCTGCTACGGACACATAACTTGCTTAAAACATTTACAACTTTCGCATCCTAATTGGCCAACAAATTAAATTGCTTATTTCTTATAATTTACATGGCAGTCAGTGACCTTTCATGTGACTAATCTGAATCAACAAAACTAATCTCACTCGATACAAGGCTGTCATAACTCAAAAATAGGGCATTGTGGGGTAAACCTAAGATAAAGGCTATTATCAAGCCTATTTCCTTTTACTAAATACGATTATTGAGAGGCTAAATATCGTATACCAATGAAATTGGTATCCACAAATTTGGCCAATGCCTTGTTTTGTCAAATATTATCGAGCAGGAATTTGCGAACAAGATTCTCTTTTTATGGTTTTCTTAGATGCCCTTACAAAGTATAATCATTTTGGGTTCCGACAGTCTTGCATTAAGTGAGCTATCTGTATACTAATTGGGTCCCAGCCGACTCATGGGTCCTCTGTGGATGTGGTTGCCTCTTGCGCAAGCTGCTCCTGCTCTAGCTCCTGCTGCTGAGCCAATCGCAGACGCTTTTTGGCCTGGATGTCGGCCAACGTTTGTTCGATGGAGCGCACATCCTTCTTGTTCTTGCTGGGCACGAATCCGTAGCTTTGGTTGGTCTCCGTCTTACGGGCCGCCTGCAATGCGGCCGACTCTCCGATGAGGTGGGCATACTTGGCCTTGTAGTTGGTCGTAGGCTTAACTTCGCCGGAGTCCTGATCCGCGGCTGCGGATGTGGACGAGGCGGAACTTGCTGCTTCGGACGTGGAGGCTTCTTTGTCACTTTGCTCCTGCGCCAATCGTTCCCGCCGTCGCTCCGCGTACTCCTTGGCTATCTCCTCGTTCCAGCCGTCTCCATTCCGACGGGCCGTGACTTCATCCTCGCCAGGAGCGTGCTCCTTTTTGTACACAACCGAATGACGGTCCACATCCTCGCGGCCAAAGCTCATGGCAATGAAACCGCCATTTTCGGCTACTTCGTGGATCACCGAGCGATGCACCTTATCCAGCGGCTGGAACTCGATGTATCGCCTGTCGTCCTTGGCGAATCGTCCCATCCGTTCGTCCACATACTTTCGGAAGCGGAGGAGCTCCTCCTTCTGTTTGTTCTGCATCCGCTCCATCATTTCCCGCTGTTTCTTGATCAGCGTCTTCTGTTGCTCGTTGTTGGCAGGCGGCGCATCCATGGCGTTGAGTATTGAGTCGAGCAGATCCATTTTTCCGCCGTGTTTTCCTCGATTGATGTTGAGCAATTGGCGGATGTGCGCCTGCGATGGGATCGACAGAAATGCGAGGGAATCTCAGTTAATCGGGCGGTTCGCTCTTTGTTGCCGCATTGTTAGGGACTTACCACTCTCTGGCGTTTATTATTAGCCCGTTGGGATGTTCGATTGCCGTTGATTTGCTTGTTTTAGGGGGGTTTAATATAATTATAATTATATTGACAACCGGTGCTTGTGCACCAAATAAATTCTGCGAAAAATACTGAAACTAGGGAAGGCCAACTTGGTCGCAATTGCCGTTCTTTGGTATTTTCAAATTGTACAACAGCTGTTTACACTCGACCGCCGACTTGAAACCTAAATCTTGAAAGATTTAAAAAGAAATATTCAAAATATTTTGCTTTAAATCATGTAATAAGAGCTAACACATAATTGTTTTTTTTTTTTAATATCGTGTAGAATCTTGTGAAATATACAGTACATAAAATATTATTGTGCATATATTATGATTTCTCAATAAACAATATTTTCTTAGTTTTATTTTGACTTGCTTCCCCTATGTGATTAAAAGAAATACGCCAACTAAATTATAATAATTTTACTTGCAGCGCAGTGTACATAAGTTCAGAAAACGATTTGGCAGGTCCGTTGGAACGCTTTTGCATTTGAAATAAATTTTCCGCGTTAAATCCGCATAAATACCGTTTGAAATCGGGAACACGTGCTAAAATGGATGTGAAAAGGTCCACATTGGTCCATTGGTTCCGTAAAGGACTCCGGGTACACGACAACCCCGCCTTATCGCACATTTTTTCCGCCGCTAACGCTGCCCCAGGAAAATACTTTGTCCGCCCGATATTCATCCTGGATCCAGGAATCCTCGATTGGATGCAAGTGGGCGCCAATCGATGGAGATTCCTGCAGCAAGCGCTGGAGGACTTGGATAACCAGCTACGGAAACTTGGTTCCCGTCTGTTTGTGGTGCGCGGGAAGCCCGCAGAAGTTTTCCCCCGTATTTTCAAGAGTTGGCGCGTAGAAATCCTGACTTTTGAGACAGATATCGAGCCGTACTCCCTGTCCCGAGATGCTTCCGTGCAGAAGTTGGCCAAGGCAGCGGGTGTCAAAGTGGAAACTCACTGCTCCCACACGATTTACAATCCGGAATTGGTTATTGCAAAGAATCTCGGCAAGGCTCCAATTACCTATCAAAAGTTCCTGGGCATCGTGGAGCAACTAAAGTTACCCAAAGTTCTGGGGGCTCCTGAAAAGCTACAAAATATAACTACACCACCTAATGATGAAGTGGAGCAGGAGGACTCGGCGGCCTATGATTGTCCAACGATGGAGCAATTAGTAAAACGACCGGAGGAACTAGGACCTAATAAGTTTCCGGGAGGTAAACATATAGTTAAAGTGTTGATCACAACTACATATAATAATATGGCATTCGTTTTGGTACAACAGGTGAAACAGAGGCCCTGCGCCGCATGGAGGATTCCCTAAAGGACGAGCTCTGGGTTGCCCGCTTTGAGAAGCCCAACACGGCACCCAATTCCCTGGAGCCTAGCACTACCGTACTGAGTCCTTACCTGAAATTTGGATGCCTTAGTGCCCGACTTTTTAATCAAAAGCTCAAGGAGATTATTAAGCGCCAGCCGAAGCACTCGCAGCCGCCCGTTTCGCTAATTGGACAACTGATGTGGAGGGAATTCTACTATACAGTGGCGGCAGCGGAACCCAATTTCGATCGCATGATGGGCAATGTATACTGCATGCAGATTCCGTGGCAGGAGCACCCTAATCACTTGGAGGCCTGGACTCACGGACGCACAGGATATCCTTTTATCGACGCCATCATGCGTCAGCTGCGCCAGGAGGGTTGGATCCATCATCTGGCCCGGCATGCGGTGGCATGTTTCTTAACGCGTGGAGACCTCTGGATCAGCTGGGAAGAGGGCCAGCGGGTGTTTGAGCAGCTGCTGCTGGATCAGGACTGGGCACTAAACGCTGGCAACTGGATGTGGCTGTCTGCGTCCGCCTTCTTTCATCAGTACTTTCGCGTCTACAGTCCGGTGGCGTTTGGCAAGAAAACGGATCCCCAAGGGCACTATATCAGGAAGTATGTGCCGGAACTATCAAAATATCCATCTGGCTGTATTTATGAGCCCTGGAAGGCTTCGCTGGCGGATCAGCGGGCATACGGCTGCGTCCTAGGCACGGATTATCCTCACCGGATTGTCAAACACGAAGTGGTGCACAAGGAGAACATTAAGCGAATGGGCGCCGCCTACAAAGTGAATCGGGAGGTGCGCACGGGCAAGGAGGAGGAGTCGTCTTTCGAGGAGAAATCGGAATCCTCCACTTCAGGCAAGCGGAAGGTGCGAAAGGCAGCCGGAAATGCCCCTAAGCGAAAACGTTAAAATTTAAATTTGTTCGCTACCTTATTTAAGAGGTAGGTAGATCTAAGGAACGTGTTAATATGAATCAAGGATTGAACAAATGTTTGATGTACTATTTAAGGTATAAGGATATTAACTTGTTGAATGTTATACTATTTACACTATTTGAAATGTTGGTATATTGAATACATGGTATTGGAACGCTCAAGTTCAAGTCAATAGGTATAATAGAGTGACTAAGAATATGTTTAAACACTTGGATACTTGACTTAAAATATATCAATAAAGCTACTGATCAGAATAAGAAATGAGGAATTTTTGTAGAGAAAAATAAGGAATCATTTTAGCCTTGGTATTGGCTTCCATCACAATCGAGATTTGTCAGTTGTCGAGCTAAGCTGTGAATTTCAGTCATATCTACAATTTCGGCAACATAAGACCTTCCAATTTTTGTTTGTAATAAGTACATTTTTTACTTTACGGTTTCTGGTGTGATAGGTAGTTAGTTTCCGAACTCGATACACCGATAAAAACCATGTTTCGCAATTTGTCGATGCTGAGGAACCAGTTGGCGCTGCACCGAACCCTTGTGGCCCGCCTGACTTCGCGCTCCAAAATGTCCACCGGTGTTACGTGCCTAACCATTAACCGTCCGCGAAACATCGACGGTGTTACCGTGATAGATATCAATATGAATGATATGGCCAAGAATGACGTGGAGTTCAATCGCAATTTCGTCAACTCGCTCACATTGATGGACCGTCCCCATTTCCAAGAGGTGACTAATACGGTGGGAGCGGATGCAGTGGAGTCGCCGCCGGCAGAGAATTCGATTCCTGGAGACACTGTGGAGATCCTGCCTCCTGGCGCACCCAGTTCCGTCATAGGCGTGGACGGCAACCCCATCGTACCCATCGAGATAGACGGCTGGAATCAGGACGAGGAGGATCCCACCGTGCAGAAGAACGAGAAGGACGTGGACATTGGCAACGATGACGAGTACAAGGCTGAGATGGCGCTGCGGGTGCCAGAGGTCAGGGAAGCTCAAACCGAGTACAAGGGCATTAAGGTGAAGCTGCCGGATATGGCCAGCCAGGATGTGGGCACTTATCGCTTCCGCCGGGACTCAAAGGATCTGAAGGAGGTCGGCGACGACACGCGTCTGGTTCGATTTGACAAATAGGGAAGACAGTTTACCTTTGACTAAGCATTCAAAAATTCGTTTCGATCTTCTGGCCCACTTACGCTTGTAACTTTTCCAATTTTTTCCAGTTGTGAGGTAAGGCTAGTTTCATTCTAAGGGTAGTAGGTAGTAGGCTGCACTAGCATTGATGTAATAAAATTCAAATACGTATTCAGTTGATGGAGGAACTGAAATCTCGCATTTGCACCCATGTCACCAATCTGTTCCGAGTTCGATTGGTGATTATGATGCGCACATGGCCACTAAGAACTGTCAGTTGGCAACCGGGCGCGCTTTAATGAAAATCCAACTGTGGACCACGACTACTCTTTTAACCCACCCATGCCCCATGCCCCATGCGCCCACATCCACTCTCCATATCACAAAAGATCGCTTTGTGGTCAGTGGCAACCGAATCCGGGGCAAACACTTCCCATAAATTGCATTAAAAGCGGGCCAGGAGCGAAAACTACTCGCAACAATGCAGCCGGACATAAACACGCTGCAAAATGTTTGTAGGCTCTAAACCAAAATTGAATTTGCGGTTTTGCTTGCGGGGCGTGGCTGTGGGCGTGGCCATTTAGTGGGCGGCGGCTGGTGGAGGGTGTGTGCAGGTGGGAGCCTGCAAATAACTGTAAATGAAGCTAAAATGTGGTCAGCCGAATTGTGGATGTAATAAAAATGGCCACGGGCTGTGCCAAATGAAAGTATGGTCAACAAGATTGATTATAATCAATATCAACAGGGCCGGAAACCATTGCTGGAAATACTCGGAAAATCTATATATTGATATTATGCCATATATGCTCGTATGTACAAACATTTCACGCAATTCTAGGTACTACAATTGCGTATTTATCATCGTGGTTTTCAGTGCTTTCACATATTTAGTTGCCCTTTAGTTGTCTCGCATTGCTCGGAGTTACTTATAGGGTTTGTCTGCTTAGTTAAGTTCGAAGAATTGTGGGCCATCTTAGGCGATTGCTTCTGGCGTTGGTAATACTGAAGACAGCTTTTATCCTTATTCGGGGTTTTACCAATAATGTTGGAAATGAGGCCATCGATCGCTCCAATGCGTTTCTTAATTTTGGCTTCCAGTAGCTGGCGACTTTCGTCGTAGATATTAAATTCCGCAATGTCCTTCGTTTTGTCTTCCATTCTTCAAGCTAGTTTTCCCAAGTTCTCTTATCCACTGAGAGAATTCGGGATTGCGAGCAGCTTGAAGTTTATATTTTTTCACAAGTTCTTTGCTGATTCGTTGCGTGCTCATTAAGCTGCCCAATTGTTATGCCGAGTACTGAAAATATATCGCCTAAAAGAGTTATTGCCATAAACTTCATATTGGTTATTCGAAGTGCTAACTAAAGAGAATACCTAATGTGGGAAAGTCGACAAGGGCAAAACAAATCGATGGATATGCTTTATGTCGAGCATATCAAATAGGTTAATGATTAATACCTAAGCCATGGAAAGAAACTCCTCTGGTCAAAAAGCGTTATCGAATAAATTAAAACAAATACGTGTCTATTAACAATTACTTTTGCATTTTCCAATTGTAAAAGTAGAATAGGGGTTGGAAGCAGGATTTATTTGATTTTTGTAAAAATCGGTATGATCAATAGTAGTAATCGTAGTAATCGTTTTCTTTCCTTCGTCGCCTCCCTTTTGTAGGACATTTCTTGCCATTTTGGAAAATAACCTCCTTTTTTCTTTCGTTGGAGGATTTGTAGGCATTTCGAAGTTCATTTTCCTGATGCTGGTAGTGCTTAACACATCTCCTGCCACCCTCCTTTTGGAAGATCAGGGATCTGAGCGTGGTCAAGCGTTCGGTAATTTCATCTTCAAGCATTTGGCGAGTCTTATCGTAGCCCTTGAAATCAGATTCTGCCATAATCCTTGCTTCAAAGCTACTCTGGGCGGCAACATTGTTTATCTTCTCTATCCACCGGGAGAACTCGGCGTTTCCGATGGCCAATACTTTATACTTGCTCACAATATTTCGAAGCCTCCACGTCACCAGCCTGTCCGCCTCTTGAAAGTCCTTACTACTTAGGGCTGTGCATATATTATATTATCATGTTTTATAGAGGCGGATATGCGGGAACAACTCACCGAAGTGCAGATTTATCCATACTAAGAGTGCTATTATATTCATTCCGCTAACCAGCATAGCCAACTGATACGGATATTTGGAATATTGCTGGCTTATAAGGCTAAAACATTTGATAGAAGGAGGTGGCAAACCGATTCGACAAGCTTGAAACTCTATACAACTGATTCTTTACACCCTTATAAATGCTGAGTAAGAAATCCACAATATATTTATGTAGCTCATCCATCATGTGACGTACATGCTCGCTTAAAATCTCCGCTGAACCGATGGAGAGCTGATAGACATGGAAATGGACTTGAGTACTCGGGAAAACTCACTGCCATCAGTTTGTGTCGGAAATGATGTGGTTGGTTACTTGCGGTCCATGTGCTGCAGCTGCTCTCCTGATGACGTTGGACATGGATATGACGACTGGCTGCCGGAAAACTTACTCCTTGACCAAGTTTTAACCGTAAATGTAACTACCGCAGTTAAACTTAGGCCCGCTGGCAGCAGGTCAGACAACCGACAGCAGACATCCGACTTCAAATACCAGTCGGTTTTAAATTAAACACGACAGCACGCTTTAGTCGAGTTCCTCGACTATCAGATACTCTCTATTTAGCTAGTGGGAGTGCGAACAAGAAGTTTCCGCATTCCCTTATTGATAAAAATTGGCATAACAAATAATAATGGAAAACAACCTTTTCATATGTGAGGACGTGGCAGGTTTGGGCGTTAGAGTGGGCGTGGCAGCATCAGCAAATAGGCTTGCGCTCTATCTCAACTTTCTTGCTTTTATAGTTCCTGAGATTTCGACGGTTATACGGGCGGATATACATACCGGACGGACAAACTTACGGACAGACGTACGGACAGACGGACGGACAGACGTACGGACAGACGGACGGACAGACGGACGTGGCCATATCGACTCGGCTAGTAATACGGATCAATAATATTAATATTCCATAGGGTCGGCAGCGATTCCTAATACATACCTACCTATTACATATTTTTCAAATAATCTAGTGTACCCTTGTCCGCTTGTCCGTCTCTGCATATGTTTCTCCGCAAACTTCTGTGTCAGCATTAAGCTACATAGCTGCAGAAAACTTTCCCAAAAGTCTTCTTTATATAAGTCGGAAAAGGCGGATCGCAGCACTATGTCATGTATTCCTCTGGGACGCAGATAGCTTTAAAACTTACAGACTGGTTTGAGTAGAAACGGACAAACGGACAGACTTGACGAAGAACAAACAAGACGCTCGCATCTTCGAGATGCAAAGGTTCTGAAATCAACTTTTGCTACGAAAAAGGATTTTTGACCTTACTTTTTAATTACACTATATAAAATCTAAGCTTTTGATTTATGTATACTGTTCTCCCGGGAATGTTCTATGCAAGTTTACCAAATGAGGATAATCTTCGGCTTGCCGAAGCTAGCCAAAAATTAATTTTAAAACGTTGGTAAGTTAATATTTCTTTGTTTTTATATAGCCGTTTTGCATCCCTTTTATTATATTACTTATTTTTATTGGACTGCATTAAAAGTAATCGATAAGTCACCCAGCCAAGTTGCATTCGGAGCAATCAGCTTCAAATGGACCGCTCAGCTGCCACGCCCGATCGGCCACTCCCCTTTCCGCCATGCCCCAAAACCGGAGGCCATCAACATCGTCATTATCATTACCGTTATCATCGTTGGTCGGCTGGCATTTCCGCTGGGCCCGAGAGTTGGCCAAGGGCCATTACAGAAGTTGACCAACTTTTAATACCCGCACTGGCCATGTTGCGCATGTGTAATCCCATTAAAATCCAATAAGTTAAATTATTTCCATTATTATTATGTGAACGCACTTTGTCGCCGTCCGTCCATCAGCTTATCCGCCCGCCCCCCTGATCCCACTCCTTTGTGTCCTGCGTGATAACTGTTCATGTGGGCGTTTATCTCTCCTGTGGCTTTTGTCCTTCGCTGCCCACTTCTACACTCGAAATATTCTTCTCGAAGTACTGGATTTCATTTGTAATTGAAACCGTTGTTTGCGACACTTTCCAGTTTCCTTGGTTTTCAAATTATTTCCAAAATAACTTACAGTTTGTCTGGCTTCCGAGCTTTCAGATTTCGCCTTCCACGTTCGACTCGCATTATTCATAAATCTACTGAATATACTCGTAATATGATTTATGTTTAGCTAATTTCTTCCTTTTCGCCCATATGCATTTCCATTAAAATTGTACATGCGAGTTGTATTTGAGTGTATTGAGTTGAGGGTTTAAAATCCAGCGGCAGCACTTTTGACCAATATCTGCAACACTTCAAATTCTGCTGGCTGAATCTGTTTCATCTGCTGGTCGTTGTCCGAGTGTGGTCACGCCCCCGTTTCCCGCCCCTTCGTTGTTCCGTGTTTGTTGTCCATTAAATTGCATTACGTTCGTGCAATCATAATGATTGCCATTGCCATTGCCATCGCCATCGCCGTTGTTGTTTCCATTGTGTCGAGTAATTTGCGTATATTTTTTAATTACTTGGATGCTGGCTTCGAAGCTCTGCTGCGGCTGGGGCTTCGATGGGACTTAACTAAGATAATAGAATTCATCAATGGGGCATCCTCAGAAGATTCTGGATAACAAGAGCTCATTCTGATATTTTAAGCTCAAAATCGCGTGGAAATAAACAAGCGAGAACGATATAGTCGAGTGCGACTACCAGATACCCTTTATTCTGCTAGTTTAAGCGCGAACGAGAAACTTTTCAACATTTTTCCGGCTTATCGATAGAAAAACAATAGCAATAAAGAGAAACGAACATTACTCAAAAAAGGGGGCGTGAATGTTTTGTGCGGCCGTTAGATTGGGCGTGGCAATCTGCGTGCTCAATCTCAACTTTCTAGATTTTATAGTTCCTGAGATCACAGTGATCCTGATCACAGCTAGTGATCCTGATTAAGAATAAATATACTTTTTGGGTTCGGAAATACTTCCTTTTACGTGTTACATACTTTTCAACGCATCAGTATACCCTTTTACTTTACAAGTAACAGGTATAAAAAGCAAACATATTTATTTCCATTAGAAAATATTTATTCTGGCTTATTTACACGGTTCAATTCTTGTGCTGTGTTTCCTTATACTAGTCGAAATAGTAAAATAGTAACTATACTTTCTTAATAACCAAAATACACGTTGTTTTAGTACCAGAAACTATTTTGACAGACAAAAAATGGCGCTTAACTGGTCCAAGTAAACCAGAAATTAATCAGAGTTGCCTTCTGGGGAGTATTTCATTGAATGGGTGTTACAAGAAATGGAGAATCTGACCGGACCCAGCCCTTTCATAACTCGTTAATGGCCAGATCAGATCCACTGGACGGATGCAATCATCATCAATGTCCAGCAATCAATACTCGATGAGCCAATCGAAGGCAAGCCAGACCATAAATGCCTGTGAGCCACTTGAAAGCCATCAAAGCTGTTATCTAATGGAATTCTTAAACTTTTGCTGGTTATTTTGCTTTACCCCCAGTTCCCCATTTCTGCAACCAAAGGATCCATAATTAAACATGCAACGCATAATGGAGCTCTAATGGCTAATGAATGGGGGACTGGGTTGTTTGGGTGGCTTGGGACCGGGATTGGGACCGGGATTGGGATTGGGATTGCGGAGAGGAAGGAGATGGAATGCAAGATGCCAGACGGTGTAAAATTAGCATTTTTCTCGAGAGAAAGCCACCGCCGCGGCAATGGAATTCAAAATTAACTCATTAAACTTGACGGCGGGCAACGCGTCGTATACGTAATGGGCCAAGATCTCGCCAAAGATTAATGATTTCCCAGTGACAGCGAGAGGTGAAGAGCTGGAAACGTGAGATATACATCTCCGGGCTGGCGAGAATTTCCATGCAATTATTTCCATATCAACTTCAATGCGCCGTGAAAATTCCCGCGATGAGCAGCAGCAATGAAAAACCGATTTGCTGTTGTGACAATAGTAATTTTTCACTCGCTTGCCTTCATTGTCCGAGTTAACCGATGGCGCCACTGCCACTGGCACTGCCATTGACACGGCCACAGCCACTTCCTCAGCGCCTCAGTTACTCAGATAATCAGAGGTTCCTCGCCGGGAGTTTCCTCTGGGTTTCATTTAAATGATTACGGTTTTCCATTTCCCTTTCGCAGTTGGCGTTTTGTGTTTATTTTGTGTCTACGGCTGGCGACCGTCACGTGAGGCATACATTTTGCATCAAGCCGCCGTCTTTTGGGTATCTTTTCACTCCATCAGCGAAGCCAACTGGCTCGGGGATGACCAATTGGCTTTATGGCCCATTCCGACACACTTATTTCCTCCCGTTTATGCTGCTCCTCTTTTACGAGCCCTTTCATTTTGTTAATCAATTTCTGTTTGCGTATTGCGTGGCGAACAGGCCTAAAACAACATTTTCGCGGCACTCAAACGGGTCGTTCAGCTTTTGCCAAACATCCACTTCCTACACCCTGAACGTAATTTCCAACTCTAGTTTTGAATCATAAGTTTACATTCCAGAACTTCGTTTTGAATTGCCCCTTGAACTATATTTAACTCTAGCTACTTGTTAGTCATGATTAAACTAAATTATTTGAAACTATCACAAGCATTTTTTATACACACATATAATATACTCCAGAGTTTGGCTTAAAATCTAGCTCATATGAATACATTTTTGTTTTGCGTTGACTAAAAACTTGGCACACATCAATTATGCAAATTTATTTTTCGCTTTTTGGCCTCAACGCAATGCCCCCAAGTGTTTCGAAACGTTTTTATAAATTCATTAGGAAATAAGTTTCATGTGACCCCATGTCCTTTGGATCCTTCACCTCCTGCATAATTTGATCTCCTCCTCAGCAACCAGAGCTGAAATTGTTACAAACTACAAAATGATAAGTTGAAAGTTTAGTTAAATTAGGCTAAAGGGGTGTGGGGAGGAAAGGGAAATAGTTGTGCAAAAGCCAACATGTAAATAAATGTATGTTTAAATTTAAATGTTAAGCGTCAGATGAAACACCTTGCACATTGAAATTAATCTGAAATACAAG